GGGGGGGGCTGGGGGGGGGGGGTTCTCGCAGTTACTGATTAACTGATGACGAGGCCGCCGCCGGCTTCTCCTTTACTCCCGCAGTCATCCTCTACTTAGTCTGCAGTCCTCTTTACAGTTCACCACACAACAGTATCAGTGACGTAGCCTTTGTGTGCATTGTTGGTTTTTCCTGTTCAGTTAAGTAATTCATTTATATCTGTATATATGTATGGAAATACATATACACACACACGCGCGCGATTACTTAACTGAAGTCTATATAATGTGAAGGATCCTCTCTCGTACAAACATATAAATACACCAGCGCTGCTCTGCTCCACCACAGGGGGGCGCTCCGGCAGGCAGCCCACCTCAGCCTGTCGATGTTCAGTCTCAAATAGTACACAGGGGCGGCAGACTAGAAATCTTCAATCTTTCTCTGTAGCATAGATTTGGACTTTTTGTTTTTGTTGGTGATTTTTGCTTCGTCGGACGTCTCTACTCGATCACGTATTTGTCGACGACGAAGGAAGTTTCTGAGGAGAATTTCACCGGGCTGTCACCGTCTACGTGGGTCACTTTGGTAACCTGTGGGGAAGAAAAAAAAAAACAGGGTCAAATATGTTGATATCCATATCAAACCTTACAGGGAAAAGCAATCATCTTACATCTCTGTGACTTGCTGTTCCCTCCCTAATTTCTCCTCTCGTCTGTTTTAAGTTCATTAACTTCTGTGAGTTGAGTTCAATTATGCTTAAACTAAATTTTCCCTTCCAGACAAGTGTGCAAAGTCCAGATCTGATACCAATCATTGGTTTAACCTGCAGACATCCCACGATGAGCCAACACTACAAAGGAACAGAGAGGTCAGGGAACACAGCAGGATAAGAGCCAGGGGGGGAAACCGAAAAGCTAAATCCCACATGGCTTGGCGAGGGAAGGATAAAAAATTAATAAAAAAAAGAGGGAGAAAATGGTGGTGAGAACGAAGGTCTCGTGCTTTTTAGCAAAGTGATTCAATGAAACTCAGAGTGAAACCTGTGAAACCATCTATTCTAATCTGAGTAAAATGATGAGTCAGACAGGGGAACTAAATTAAAGACAAAAACATGAGTGAGATTCTCTTTAACCTTGCATTCTGAATAATTCAATCTGTCTGTACGACGTCAGTGAAGGCAGCAAAGGTCAGTATTTTCGTCCATTAATATCAAACCACAAACTGGAAATAACACAAGAAGCTGGAGTGTGAACTTAACTTGAACTGATCTGGATTTATATTACCACAAAAAAAAGTCTTTAAAAAAAGCTCTTTTCAACCCTCGGAATGAAAGATGAAGAAGGCCAAACCAAAAAGGACCCATCTAATATTTCACAGATTTGGCCATAATCGCGTGTCCTCATCTCTTCCACTACAGGCAGAGCTTCCCAACACCTCAGATCGACACCTGAGGCAAGAGTCTCCTAACAGCTGTGAATTTTAATCTGTGCTTCCACATACTGACTGCAGCTTCACATTAAAAACCTGACAAAATGGTGACATGCTTTAATGTGGAGGACCCGAATGTGAGTCCAAGTAAAATGGCCTTCAGAGGGAACACATCTAAAAAAGCTAATAGTGTGATAGTAACCCACCTGAATGTCACAGTAGTTGCGTTTGGACACAAAGGACACATTGATAGGGAAGAAATCGTTGGGCTGCCCGGCGATGCTGAACTCCAGGCTGCCCGTCTTGTTGTTGGCGTCGATGACCGGTAGGCACCACTCCAGAAGGTTCCGCTTGCCATCGTGCTTGTACTCTCCGTCCAGGTCCCCGATCACGGGGGCTCCGACGCCAGACCTAAAGGGGGCACGGGGGAGCACACAGACAGAGGGGATGCGCCTTTACGCTAATGCCACAACCACCGAGCGGACGAATTCTGATCGACAGCAGCAATAAAACATCTGCAGGCTGTCGGAACTCACGGTACGGGGATGCTGATGACCACGTCGTTCAGCTCCAGGGCGTCTTCCTGCAGCTCGTACTCGATATTGACGTCGCAGCCGGTGCCGCTTTCCGACGGCCAGCAGTTAACTGTCGCACATTTTAGAGCCCCGTTAACAATGGCCTGCCACATCACACCGAGTTAGACAGAAACCCCCCTGCTGCCATCGAAAACGGAGCCAACAGGGGGCCGAGCCCAGAAAAGCCATACCAGCTTTTTCCCCATCATGTTCTAAAAAATCATGTTCTAACGTTTTCTGTCACAATATTTCTTAAGGCATATGTTTTCCAGCCATGAAAAGCAACCACAGCCGTAAAGTGTGTGCCGACTCCGCGTTTGTACGTACTGGTTAGAGGTATGAGGGACTCATCCGTGGTCTGCAGTCTCCACTTCAGCACACCGACATCGTTGTTGAGCGGGAAAGACTTCTCGGGATTCTTCAGGCCAATCACCGAATCTGTTGTAAACAGTTTCTTGTCCACGTTGGGATGTGTCTGAGAAGAGAAACGCGATGAACACCATTTCAGGTTTTAATGTTCCAGCTTAAATCCGAGCTACTTTTGTCCATGTGTGGCTTCTTTAGCTTCCTTCCGCCGTCCAATCACATGCATGTTAGGCTAAACTGCAGCTTTAAATTGTCCCCGGGAGTGAGTGTGTATGGTCGTTTGGCTCTGCGTTCACTTTGAGCTAATATCCGCTCATAAATAGAATCAAACAGGTTCTTTTGGGTCTAGTCATTCCTGTTTTCTGGAGCCTTTTAAACCAAAGAAACCGTTTTACAGCATCACTATTTCTAAACAACAACACGTGCGTGTGTGGAATGGCGTCTCATGACAACAGTGAATCAGGTCTAACACACACACCTATTTCTACAGCCAACCTTTCCCCGGAGGGTGGGCCTACCTGCAGCTGCAGCCCTTTGTTGTCGTTGTTGTTGATGATGAGGCGGATGCGTCCGGTTTTCTCGTCCGAGACTCTGAGCGTCACCATGCCCAGCACCTCCATGTTCTGCAGGCCCCCGTCGCGGCCGCAGCTCAGCGAGATCTTCTCCTCGACGCGCAGGTGTACACTGGGGAGAGGAAAGCACACGCTCTGAGGACGTGGCCCCCCCCCCGCGGCTGTCCGGCCAGCGTTGGGGGAGCCACCTGCAGCTGTCCCCTCTGAACCTAAAGCTGCTGAGCCACTTGGGTTCTTCGGCTCTCTTGTCAGGATACCATTTTGGACTCTTTTAAGAGTGCACTAAACGGCTGAGGTCTGGAGCTTTCCCCAAAAGCAGACAGCTTGTTTTATTGTGGAAAAAAAAGATGACTTCTCATTCCACTGGGTGGCCTCACATCTCTTGCATAATAAAAAGACATCTCCTCTTAGATGGCTCCCATTGGACCTTAGATACAAAGGTTCCGGTTGGGCCTAGACCCCCCTGATGCACATACCTCTCTACGTTGACTGGTGGGGGCAGAGCTTTAGAAACGTCAGAGCCTCGTTTTCCTATGGTGGGCATGATGGTTTCTCCCTCTGACTTGAGCTGGTCGACAAAGTTGTCGGCCTCCTTCCCTTTAGCACCGAGTTTCAGAGCCTTACTGGGTCCACTGGATCTGGACAACGGAGGAAAAGAGGAAAACTCATTACATCAGGCCATTTGTGGGCAGAAGAGAAACCTGTGAAGTGTGACGAGAACTGGTGCATCTGCGGGTTCTGTACCGGACTGGTGCTGGTGTGATCTTGGGCTTCTCCGGCTCAACGATGGTGTCTGTGATTATGGCCCCCGAGGACACGCTGGATAGTCCGGAGTTGCCGAAGCCACCGAAAGCTGGCACCTTCTTCCCGGAGCGCTCGGCATCCCGCCTGGCCTGCTGCAGCTCCTTGGCCTTCCTCCTCATCTCGGCCTTGGCCTCACGCTCTTGGGTCTGAGGGTGTCCAAACACATTCAGTTTGACTTTACACTCTTCTACAAGCCAGTTACCGACCCATGCTCAGGATAGGCCATCTCCGGGCACATGCCATGCAACGGTTAAATTTCCGTCCCGTCCATTTCAATGGGCCCTTATGCGGGTCTGACTAGGAAAGAGAGAGCAGAGGGATCTCACCTCTCTGACAGCACGGAAAACCTTCTCCTCGTGGGAGTCCATCTCTGTAAAAGTGCGGATCTGAGCCAAGTTGACGTTCTCTCTGTAGCCAAGCGCCACGATCTCGTCGAAGGCGAAGATGAGGTCAAAACAGTGCTCTGAAATTTCGCTCTCCTCCAGCACGCGACAGTATTCCGGGATCTGCCACAGTGGAGCAAAGCAAATCTCAGAATTAAAAATAGAAACAAGACAGACATTTCCCATTGTTTTATCGCTTTTTATGTTGCAAAGTAACCCACTCTTCAGCAGATCAAATTATATTTTCAATGTGTCAGTGTCGTGACAGGAGGAAAAAGCTAATTAAAATGACCACTACTCTCACTCTGAGCTGGAATAAAGCAAATGTGGAACCAGTGGGAAAGGTTCCCTCGCTCTCCCTCTCACGCATGCACACTGGAGTTCTGAAATGTGGAGCCATGTTTCACAGCCGAAATGATTCAGGAGAGGAATCGGTCTGCTCTGCTGCTCGGTAGCTTTTAAACATGCCACCGGGGGGAATACAGACACACGCGGTACTGGTGTCCATACAGTAAGAAGCCTGCGTATCAGTGGCCTTTCTATTATTTGGCTTCAAACCGATAACAGACTTGCTAAATTCAAATGACAAGTCGACTGACTGCTGAATGAGTTATTTAATGTTTATATTGATGCATTTAGGCGCTTTTATCCAAAGGCCAGAGCAGAACAACTGGATGGCAAACTCTACTAAACCCTTCAATACTGAGCAGAAGAGATTTTAGAAACTGACAGAGGGAGAAGTGTTTTGTTTTTTTTAAAAAGAGAAAATTTCAACATTCTAATTTCCCTCTGGGTTTACTAAAGTACTTTTCATTTAGTTTCGATTGGTGCTAGCCTCACATGATGAGGTTGTTTCTATCTATGATATGCTTGGGTGTCATAGAAAGAAAGAATAACAATGGCCTGTTATTGATGAGGCTGAAGTCCACACAAAAGAGAAAAACTATTACACGTTTCAGACAAAATGACCACACCTGTGAGGCCCTGACACCCGTTATTAAAAAGGAGGAAGGAGGTGCATAGACTGATGGTCTTTTACAGATAAAAGCTCACGTTACAGACAGATTGAATGGAATACAGAGATACCTTTCAATGTTTGCTCTAACTTTACTGTTGAGATTAAATATTCCCATAAAAAAACATGCTCCATCTTAACATTACCCTCCAATATCAGAGCTAAAAGAAATTAAATAAAATTAAGAATTGAACATGCTAGGAGTCTGCAGCAGACATCAGAAGTGGTGAAAATCTCAAATTCCTAACAGTTTCTAAGCTTTAAATATACAGCATCACTGACGAATCAAGTAAAACCATAAACCAAAACACATGTTATGATAACGTCCCTGTTGGATGTTGACGTAAGGTGGGTTAGAGTAAGTTAAGTAAACTGACACATTAGGAGAAGTAATTATCCTCGACATCACATCCGGTGTAAAAACTGTTGTTAGCTCCTACTTCTACTTTTACATCCCATATGCTCAAACAATCAGATTTTTACATTTTTTCTTCAACTGAAATGGGCTTCTTACCACACGGGAGAAAAGTCTGAGTGTCTCCAGGTCTTCCAGAATGTTGCTGTTCTTGGTAGTGATGAGGACCATGTAGAGTTTCTCCAGAGGCTGGTACACGTAACGAACACTGTCCGTTTCCACAAAGGTGTGCTGCTTGCCTGTGTTCATCAGTTTGGGGAACGCCGCCAGAAGACCCTCGATCCTCGTCCGGGTCATCTCCACAAACTGTCGCGAAACAATGGCCTTTCCGGCCTTGGTGCACACCGCCGCTGCCAACAGCACCTGAGGTGGGAAGATGGGGCATTACCGATACAACGGCCCATCTGCCAGGGCTCTCAAACTCTGGGCCTCGAGGGGGCTACTGTAAAAGACTGTTAAGTTCTGCACTAGTCTGCCAATGGTGCGTTTAGATGAGCTGAAGCAGGAAAACATTTAACACCTGCAGCACAACAGGCCTCCAGGACTGGATTTGCAGATCCTTGTCACGAATCATCAACGTCACAACGCAGCACAGAAATGCTTCAACCACGCAAATATACATAAAAAGTCCCTAAAGCTAAAAGTAAAGCAAGTGACAAATGTTCAGTAATCACTGCCTCTGTGCATACAAACACACATCGGCTATTTTAGAGCCACCTTCCCACTGTACGGCCTTGTGTCTCGTTCTGATCTGGTTATTACCCAGCGAAGATGTCAATGCTTCAACTCAAAGGTCGTGCAAGATTGTGGAATAAAACAGGTGGAAACAGACCAAGTATTAAACCAGCATTTGACCTCAAGTGATGTCCATGCTGAATCAGAAAACGGAGAGGCTTGTTTTGGGGTCCAGTTCTAACAAACCAAGATAGGCCGTCATTTGGCTGGTTCTGCTCAGGTGCTTGTATAACACATAATTAAAATGCTATGAGCTATTCTTTGGCTGTATTTTATGAAAGGCAACTGTCCAGCTATTTTATCATGGCAAGTGAAGGCGATAATTGCATTCATACCACGTTGACAGTGGAAAACATGGCAGCTCCATTTAAACTTGTAGACATGAAACAGCTGCTTAAAGAAGTCACTGTTGACTTTAATAACATATATTAATGTGTACACACATTAAAACAGACATATGACTGACGACAGCCTTTCGGCAGGTGAGGTTAGCTCGGATCCGGCTAGTGACAGGCGATAACTAGCGCTAGCTTGTAACAGTGGGTAACGTCAGCAGAGTACACTAAATGTCTCGAATTGATATTATCATTAACTCCGTCCTGTTAAATTACGGTTATATTGCACAAATGTTCGCTCTAATATTATGTAAGAGACTACGACACCACGAGTATGATTTTCTGCTTATTTCCGTCTTGAGATAAGAGAAGCTAGCTAACTGCTAGCTTTAGCTGACTGCCAGGTTGGCTAATGTTATGATTACAGCCAGGCCCGGTAAAAGTCAAGAAAAGCATTTCGTGTCTCGACTAGTACTCACCATTTTAGTCCCTCTCCGCGGTACCACGATATTCACTCTCTTGTTTGTTTGTTTGTTTTTTTCGCTTTGGAGATTGGAAGCCACTCGGGAACGGCGGTGCGCGAATACAGCTGACTTGAAGTTGGGTGATTGTTAGCTAGCTACCGTCAATATGGCAGCAGCGGAGAGCCACGTCTCCACCGGAAGAGCAGCGCTGGCTCGGCCCACCGTGGAAACCAATGACGTGGGCCCCAAAAGTTGGCTTTTGTCGCGGATAGTTAGACGTCTACGACTACTTTTAACACGTAAAGGAGTTGACTTTTATCTCTAGTCTCTCTCTCTTAAAAAAATGTATCCTCTTCAGGTTTAGCGTCACAAAATACACGAAGTGAAAAGGCATGTTGCAAAATTAAAATCTTATCAGGAATCTGTATTTAATTCAATGTTATATCCAGCGTGGACTGCACGATGAAAAATGAAACCAAGCTGTCATCAAAACTAAACAGGAAAAACAAGTTATATGAAAACATAATACACATGTTATTGACAAAATTCAGCATGTAAGATAACCACCTAAAAAAGGCTTTAGAACATGGAAAATAATGGATCTGGGAATTTAAGATAAAAGCTTGCAGGAAAAGTTATCATTGGTAATGAGACTTATTAGTCATAATTGTGTTTTTTATTCATTTATTTCTTTCTATAATAAAGTCTACTGGAAACATCCCTCTGTAGGTTAATAAAAACAAGAGATGTGAAAAATAAAAAGGTCAGTAATTTGTCATCAGTTTAGTTTATACCAATATTTAGTGCACACAAGCCAAAAGAAAGAATTTGATATTTTTTAGTGACCTTTCCGTTCCTTTTCAGAAATTTAGGAAGGAGGCATAGAAAGAGAAGTATTACATAAGTAAGAGCAATGTGAAAGATTCTGCTGCCAGGAAATAAAGTGGTGAGAGGTCAGGATTAACTACAAACAAATAAATAGGTAAACAAGCCTAATGGTAAGAAAAGTGGACAATGACGAACTGCTTTAGGCCAAAGTCCGATCGACGATCATGTAAAAGGAATATTTCTCAGTTTGAGACTTTAAGGAAGTTTGGTCATTCAACAATTATAGAATAAAAATAGGTATCCTCCTTCACTGCCTTCAAGTTGGAACAAGTGCATCTTTGTCTGGGACCGGTTCCACATGGGCAGCACATGGGCAGCATGTGGAGGCAGAGAGAAAGGCTGAATTTGCCGTGGACAAACTGCCACTGAACACATCGCTGACCAACAACTGCTTTGTCTCTCAGAGCTGTGACACTGACAGCTCACCTGCCTGTCTGACATGAACTACAAAACCAAGAACAGTAACATGATTTTTCTCACTAATACAAGGGTGGAAACAACAAGCACAGAACCGTTGTCCAGCAGCATCTTTTGTTGGCCTGTGCTGGGCTATGGCATGGCCCCTCCAATGACACGGTCGCTTACTTTGGACACCAGGTGTCATTATTTGACAGATTTTGGGCAAACAGAGACACTATCTTTTTCAATTCATTGTAAACTGAAGACTAACCTCTTTACCTTGGTCACCTGAGCCATCCCTAATCTTAAACTCTCTCAGAAATGAAGAAATGTTGTCAAAATGTACAGCACTCATCATTAAAAACATTACAATCTTTCAATAATGTAATGTAGCATTTTAGCAACTCTACCAAAGTTAAATTCAGAATTCTGGAAATAAGGCAAGGAAAGTGTATTTGTATAGCACATTTCATGTACAAGACAATTAAAAGTGCTTCACAAAGAATTTAAAAGAATAAAAACAAGAAAAGATTGATTATAAAAATTTGATAGATAAAAAGTGAACGGTCCCAACAAAATACATTCAATTTCCATATGCGCAGTTAAACAGAACTGGATTTAAACATTGTCAGAGTTGAGGGTCCAAAACCCAGAGTTTTGGGTTTTGGAACAGCAGGTGTATAGAATGAACTGTACATGGATGGATTTTGAGACTGTAGAACACAGGTTTTACAATTGCGAACTTCCAAGGAAATTTTGAATAGCTTTGCAAAGCTTGCTTGGCTAAAATATTCTATACATGGATATCAGAATGCAAAAATGGAAGAAGGAATATGGAACGTTTTGGGAAACCTTTCCAACAATAATAAACAAAATTCCAATGGATACCTTTGCTTTTTGATGCCTTGTTTATGTCAACAAGATGGTGGAGATGGCCATGGACCATTCCGGTCAAAGGTTCAGATCCAGCAAGGCCAGAACCACCTGGCACCTGAACAGTTTCTTCCCTCCACCCTCTTAAATGATGACATCTGCGCCCTCCAACTTCTTTTACAGTCACTCAAAGATACGGACACCTAAAAAAACACACCCGAACTTATCATATGTACCTTTTCTTTGCCATTTTTTCAAATTTGTTATTTAAACTGTCCTGTTGCGCTGGGATACCATGTCACATTCCTGTGTGCTCTGGACATTTGGCCAATAAAGTGATTTTTTAATCTGATTGTGATCATCATTGTGTAATTAGCCACTGTTGTGTTACATCTGTTTCCATGCCTGCATCAACAATGCATGTATGTCTTTTAACTTTATTGAGTAGTTGCGTGAAAATAAACTTAAAAAAAGGGCTGCACACGAAGGAGTGGGACAAATGAATGAAGGAAATAACCTCGAACCCTCTCAATGACATCAGAGGATCATGTGGGCGGTTACAGGAACGTAGGAGAGGAGTGTGCTGGGTACTGAGAGGGAGTTGCACTCGTACTTTCTTATGAGCCACGTATTCGGTTAAACACGCTAAACTCAACATAGATCGAGTTCCAAAAGACGGACTAACGACATGTCGGGAGCGTCCAATTCTGGGGTAAGTCTTATTTTAATCAAAACGAGCTTATCATTCAAGCATTGAGGGCTCCTATAAGAATTCCGGTAGCGTCACCATTTACTACACGCTGATTGGCTAATATATGTGTCCGTCTTCGTATCTTGCACCCCATTGGACAAGAAGAAGCGAGTAGAGCGATGTGTCAAAGTTGAATTGCGAAAGGCTAATGTTAGCACATGTGAACGCTATCATGTAGCTAATGTCAACGGGGCCGGTTGCCTGGTGTATTATTTTGTTTATTATTACAAAGTAGTAGAAGTAATACGTCTATACATAAAGTAATAAACGTTACTATGAATGAACGAATGAATACCACCTATCCGGAGAAATGTAAACCAAACACAAAACCATTACGAGTATGAGTTTTTTCAGGAGACTCAATTGAATCATTTCAGTCTATATTCATGTTATACTTTGTTTTATTAACCGAGTAGTTATTGCTTGCACGTGACGTTAAGACATTTGTAGTCAAGATACTGTTTAACCTTTCTACAGGTCAAAATGGCAGCAATTACAGGAGGATTTGTCTCTTTAGTGCCGACCGGACAGTTAGGAGCCACTCGTTTAAGTTGTGGTGGAAAGCTAACACTTGTTTTTTTTTGTCGTTTTGGTTGTTAAATGACACCAAGCGAAGTTACGTCAAATTAAATATTTTTTTTAATGCAGTTTACGTGCAGATATGGAACCCTTATGCTAAGGCTATACTGATGTAAGTTCAATATACACCCATTTATGACATTTGTGCGTATAAAGAAACACAAATGAAAATATTAATAGGGTTTACTTTTTACCACTTATTTCTTTGTTTACTTTCTTATAAAGGGTTGAATTGAATAATACGTACTTTTAAATTCATCATGTCCTTTTTACAAGCTCCATCCCGCTCAAACCTTAGAAATCTAATTTCAATATTACATTCAAACATGCTGAAACTGTATTTCTGTTGTGTAAATTAGGTTCTTACACATTTTATTTGGATAACTTTAATTTTGTATATGGCTCTTGAACTTATTTATAATCCTGTTAGTTCTAAAAGCAGGGAAAACTGTCATTTATTTAAATTAATATTTTATTCTGAAATTTTCTCCAGCACACTGATAACAAATGTTGCCTGGATTCTCTTCCAAAAAGGAGAATTTCACTGAGGTCCTGCACAGAGTTGGATTTGGCCACACCTTACAGCCAGGCCCTTTCTTAAGCTGCCCATCCCAACCTACAATAACGGACTCCGTGAATTGGCACACTTATCTTCTGAAAGCAGAAATATCTTTGGGTGGGGGTCTTGAAGAGAAGAATAGGGGGAGGCTCAGTAAGTAAAAGGCGTGTTTAGTATCTGGAGAATCTGACATCAAGTCAGCACAGTTTTACAGAGACTCTACAGGCCGTCTCAGACACACAGCAGTCACTAAAGCCTTTGTGCCCACACTCGCACCGCCAGGAAACCGAATTATGGAAGGACCTTTCAAGTACACCAGGGTGAGGCCAGAGGAGAAAATGGCTCAGCTCATCACAAAACTGTTAGAGACGATGGAATTGTGTTAAATCTATCTGAGAGTAATTTTTATTTTATTTTTTTGTCCCGGCAGGATGGGAGCGGCAAAGTCAGCCAAGTCATCAGGATGGGAACGCGCAACAGCCAGGTACAGTGATACACTTATTCAGACTTTATTCTACATTTATTCCAAGTCTTCTCTGCCCGTTGCCATTCTGAAGAACTCACTTAACGTGTGGTCAACACCACCAAAGGCTCTTCTTCTGCCGTTTTTTTTTAATAGAGGACCATAGTAGCTGGCATAAGTTTTAAAAAAAAAGAAGGGGAGTACGGTTTTGTTAATTGTCACCTCTGTTTTGTTGCAGCTGGCTCGCATCCAGACCGACAGCGTGGCCGCCAAGCTGAAGGAGCTGTATCCCGATATCCACTTAGAAATAGGTGAGAGCCATTAAAGTCTTTATCAGGTAGAGGGATTTGGACTTTTTTTCCAGGGGTCAGATTCATAGACATCTGTTCTATGTTACAGAGCTGAATGAATGAAATAATCAGCCCTATAATCAACGAAGGCCGTCACTCTGCTCAGTGTGTTCTTTATATGTGTGTGTCAGAGGGCTAGAGATAAGGCTCACCACCATGCCGTTTGCCTTTGCTTATAGAGCCAAGTGATCCGAACATTAATGTCTTCTTGATATTTTAAAGCGATCCTTTTTTCAAGTGGCACGATCAAAACCGCTCTTTCGCAAGTGCCGTTATTTCCGAGAGGCATGTAACTGGAATGTGAATCATGTTCTGTGCAAAGGACTGACTCATGATGAGCTTGTTGCTGAACTGGCCTTTCTAAAACGTCTGTCTGTCACACTGTACATAAATGCAACATACGTTTTTACTCGTAAAATGACGTTTTCATGACAAGAAAGTAGCTAAACTGGATTTTTTAAGACCTTTGTCACACTGTACCTACATGCAATATACGTTTTTACTTGGAAATTAAGTTTTCATGGCAAGCAAGTCACTAAACTGGCTTTTCTAATCCGTCTGTCACACTGTCCCTGAATGCAACATATGTTTATGCAGGTTGTGACTCGTAAATTAAGGGAGGAGCAGTACTCCTACATTGAGTCAGAAGTTCAGAGGAACCGCAGCCCGCAGATTTCCTGAAAACCTGTTTGCCTTAAGATAATATAAAATGCTGACAACACATTACTCATTACCAACATATACATATTACTAATCAGAGCACGAGGGTTAAAATATATATAATGCTGAGTAGCTTAGCAAAGTGTTAACATCACTTTTCCTAATTTGTGTCAAGAGTGGCCGGATACCAACTATATGGAAAACATCTACCATAATCCTAATTCCCCAAAAATAATAATCCAAGGGATCCTACTGAATTTAGACCAGTTGCTTTAATGTCCGTTGTGATTAAGGTCTTTGAGAAAATACAGAAAGGAGAAATTGTTCGTTTGATTAATGGCGACTTCGATCCTCTCCAATTATCTTATCAGTCTAGGAAAAGTGTGGAAGATTTTAATCATACACAGGCTGTACGAGCATCTTAAAAAACCCAGCGCACACGCCAGGCTTTTGTTGCTTTTAATAAGATGTGGCCTAATATTTTAATCGAGCAACTTTCTTCTTATTTGAATCTACCAGATCCTATTTGGTTGTTGCTCTTGAACTTTTTGTCCTTTCGCCTTTGTCATTTATCGTGTACACACACGGGAATGACACTGTCCTCGTTTGGGAACTGGTGTGATGAAAACTTCCTGGATCTAAACGTCACAAAAACTGAGGAGTTAGTCACCGATCTCAGGAGGAGTCACCCTAAGCCAGCAGTATCCATGGAGATGATGTTGAAATTGTTAAGTACTAGGGAACCACGTCAGACTCCAAACTTAAGTACGACTCAAATACAGTCGATTTCTAGAAAGGGTCATTTGTTGCGTCGGTTGAGTTGTTTTAATATTCCTGAGAGCATGTTGTGTAGCTTTTATCATTCATCAGTTGAAGGTCTTTTGGCCTTTTCTTTTATTAGTTGGTTTTAGGGATTGTCAGTAAAGGAGAAGAACAGTCTCTGCAGCGTTGTTGGTTATGAGATAACATGTTTATTATGATTAAATATGGGTAAATAACTAACATAACCAATTTTTACTAATGGATTGGCTTTTTTTCATTCTTCTCACACTGTCATTAACACTTATTTTAGATCTGTATATATACATATTTATATATTTATTTATATTTTGTATGGAATGTTGTATGTATGTATATATATATATATATATATATATATATATATATGTATATATAGACATGTATATGTGTATATGCTGTTTATGTCTGGAGTTGGTAACAGAAATAATTTCCTCATGAGGTTATTAAAATATTTTTGATACTGATTCTGATTAATAATAACTTTGTGTGTTTCAGTGGCCATGACAACAGTGGGAGATAAAATCCTTGACAAGGCTTTATCAAAGGTGAGCTGGGTTGTATCCATGTTGCAGTTATTCAGATAATGAATACATCCATGTTCCGGACCTCATGTGGTCATTAATCAAATGATATGCACCAAAAGGATCCACAGTCCCACTGAATGCTAGAACTCTGCTGTCTGGAGCTTTTTTCTTTCTTCTTTTTTTTCTTTTTGCATTAGCTAACGCAAAATGACCTCTTCTGTGCAGATTGGCGAGAAAAGTTTGTTCACCAAAGAGCTGGAGACTGCTTTGGAGAAGAACGAGTAAGTGTTTGTTAGGCGTCCACATCCCTGCTCTCACATTTCCCCCTTTTTTTGAATGACAAAAGAGGAACAGTAGTTTGGGAAACGCTGCCTCTCATTTCACAACATAAGATTCTGAGGAAAAAAAACCCCCCCACAGCCGAAGATCGGCTCTGGGTGTAGGTTAAAGCGAGAGCCTGTGATGTGCTCTGCCTCAGATGTAGCAGCTGCTCCTCGGCTGAATGGCTGCATTCTGCCGCCAGAAATACGATTAAGTCATGAGAGTGATTTTCCCCCTCCGTTTGCGTGCCCGACAGGGTGGACCTGGTCGTCCACTCGCTCAAAGACCTGCCCACCACCCTGCCCCCGGGATTCACCATCGGGGCCGTGCTGAAGTAAGTCCGCAGACACACACACACACACACAAACACACACACTTAGCCCACTTTTTGGTTAAAAGCACCACTAGGAATAAGTGGTAAAGACAATGGATGGATGGAAGGTATCATGTTAACTGATGGGATTCGGAGGCCAGATAAGACACGACGCTGTGTGACCTAAGACGTAGGCTAGTGGAAACCACATCGGGAATTCTTCATTGTTTCTTCCAAGCTGCTGACACCAACTCGGAGCGGAGAGACAGAGCGGATCCGTGTCAGCTCTCCCCTTTGTGGCGACCGTTCTCCTTTTACAATAAGACGATTATCGCTTACTTGGTCACACAGCGACGCAGTAACTTGTAGTAACGCGTGGCGTAAGCCCACCGCTGAGGGTGGGGGGGCCGGCCGTTCACAGTCCCGCTCCTTTGTTGCAGGAGGGAGAACCCCCACGACGCCGTGGTGCTCCATCCCAGCCACGCCGGAAAGACGCTGGACTCCCTGCCGGAAAACAGGTGCGCATCGCGGAAGAACCATGAAAAAGAACCATCCAAATCAGGGTGCCATTTATTTCATTGTGTGTGTTTGTGTGTGTGTGTGTGTGTGTGTGTGTGTCCAGTGTGATTGGCACCAGCTCCCTGCGCCGTGCTGCTCAGCTAAAGAAGAGATTCCCTCATCTGCTGTTCAAAGACATTGTATCCTTTGCCGGAAAAGCGGTCGCTCTGTCAAAAAGAAAGACTTTGTTTGAATCGGAAGGAAAATGCCCCACTTTTTTGGACTAAATTGAAAAGGTAACGGCTAAATAAGATGTGACAGGAAATACAGGGAAGCTGTCTTAACGTCTCTCTGTGTCCTCAGGGCCTTCTCAGAGGCAGACACTCAGAGGATAGTTTGTATATAAACTAAAACCTTATTTTTTCTAACCAAAGTAAATCCATAAAAAGGAATTGGTAGAGTTACATGAGTCGATTTCTGCATTCTCCACCCACCTAATGACACACTAAGACCAGATGAGGGTTCCACTAGTTTAGTATTCAAGCTTCCCCCCCAGCTCTGAAAAGGATTTTGCCGGTGTTGCCAGACTTTGGTCTCCGAGGCGTTCTCCTTAGTGGCTTTCCTCCAGCGGGGGAACCTGAACACGCGGTTGAAAAAGCTGGACGAGAAGGAGGACTTCGCTGCCATCATCCTGGCTGCCGCTGGCCTCAAAAGAATGGGCTGGGAGAAGCGAATCAGCATGGTGAGCCTCACGGTTTCTCCTTCCTATCACTGGATTCTTCCTCGTTCTGTTCTAACACGCTTGGATTTGTCTCCGCTGCCAGATCCTGGAGCCTGAAGACTGCATGTACGCTGTTGGACAGGTTGGTAGGAATGAAAGGATAATGTTAATAATAATAATAATAATAATCTTTATTTGTGGAGCACTTTTTAAAAACAAGTTACAAAGTGCTTTAACAATACTACCAAAGAGACAATAATACAAAAACAACTAAATAAAAGCATGGAAAATGTCAAAAAGACTAAAATACATGTTTAAGATAAATTTAAAATTAGTAAAATATAGTAAAATAAAAGGGATAAAAGGGATGAAATAAAGTCCCGAGGATCTTAAGGTGTGTGCTGGTGTGTATGGGACTGAAAGGTCAGAAATACAACAAGGCGAGAGGCCACGAAGAGTTCTAAAAGTGGTCAATAGAATTTTAAAGTCAATTCTAAAACACACTGGGAGTTTAACGAAGCTAAAATAGGAGTAATGTGGTCATATTTCTTTGTTCTGGTTAAAAGCCTGGCAGCTGAGTTCTGGACTCTCGATGAGTCCATCAAACAGAAGGCCCGTTATTGGCTGTAGGCTGTCATATACAGAATATGTGTGTGTGTGTTGTCAGGGAGCTTTGGCGGTGGAGGTCCGGGGCAGAGACGTGGACATCCTGGAGATGGTGTCCGCCCTTCACGACCCCGAGACCGTGCTGCGCTGCATCGCTGAGCGGGCCTTCCTCAGACGCCTGGTACATCTCACACACACACACACACACTCACACACTCTCCTGGTTAAAGGGCAGCCAGGGGAATGCAGCTCAACTGAGATCCTTTTTTCTCCACAGGAGGGGGGCTGCAGTGTCCCCGTGGCTGTGCACACCCAGGTGAAAGACTCCCAGGTAAGCTTTCACACACCTTCACACACCCGGAAACAGACAGTTAGCCTAAGATAAGATAAAACGTACCTTATGAGCTCCAGAATTGGGGAAAATATCTGGTCGAAGCAGCAAGACAAACAGAAAGGAGTGACACGCTCAACATAAACTGAAATATAAAGCATCATAATATCGTCTAAAAGGGATAAACTTATTAAACAATATATAAGAAACTCTTGAAGACCCACCTCTTCAAAGAGCATCTCCTATCCTAATCCTAACCCGTATCTCTACCCCCCCCACAACTCCTTCTGTGGTCCCCTCTACCTATATCTCTTGCTGTCACCACTGACTCTGATCAGTGTTTCTCCTCTGTATAGCTTATTGTCATAGTGATGATAAATGTAATATTGTGTCTAGTCTGTAAGTCGCTTTGGATAAAAGCGTCTGCTAAATGCATAAATATAAACAAGTGGTCATGGTGATCTTAAATTGGCTGGAACTCTAACACAAAAATGGCAAGCTATATAGCAGCACATAGATCTGACGGATCAGATTGATCAAAATGAGAGGAAGTAATGCTGTCGCGTTTATATTTGGGGGGCTTTGGGGAGCCTGGACTCGGTGCGACTGCTCTTCCCCCAAAAGAATTAAAGCCACAAGCATAGGGCGGACATTTTTTTAGTCGGTTAGCGTCCTCAACCGTTCAACACAGCGTCATACGTGCTCACAACGCCTTTCTGGAATCCCTTAGCTTCTCTTTTACTGTCTTCAGATTGTCTTTTACTTATCTTCAGATTCAGATTCCTAATGAAGCAGCTTAGATTCGTTTGTCGGTCGAGAAAATTGTGGCTCGTGTTTCAGTCAAATGTAGCTTTTCGTAACAGCGGCATCATCCCACCGAACCACTGTACCAATAAGATGAAAACATCTGGAATTGGATGTAAATCAGTTGCCCAGACAGACGTCTCACCGTCCTAACAAAAGTTTAAGCTGCCGCTTCTGATTCTGCCAATGTCTGAGAGCAAATGTCTGTGTCCGGCAGCTGTACCTGACCGGGGCGGTCTACAGCCTGGACGGCTCGGACAGCCTGAAGGAGACCATGCAGACCAGCGTCAGCGCCGGGGCCCAGGTGACCACCCCCCTCACCCCCCTAAACCCCCCGAACGCTCCTCAGCCAAAGAGCGTCCCTCTCACTCCTCCCGTCTGTTTCGCAGAATCTAGAGAAGGAGGACGCCTACGTCCAGCGGGCCGGAGTGACGGCCAGCAAGATCCCCGCCGACGCCCAGGACCGGGCCGAGCGGCTGGGCGTGGACCTGGCCAACCTGCTGCTGAGCAAAGGGGCCAAGGAGATCCTCACGGTGGCCAGGCAGCTCAACGACGCCAGATAATCCCCGCCGGGGGCCCCAAGGCGGCCCTCCACACGCCGCAATCAGCCACAACCTTGATCCGAGAACAGCTCCAATTCCATATTTGCAGTACTCATTTGATTATTTTTCTTGGGTAAAAAAAACAAAACAAAAAAAAATGCTGGCTTCCTGTTGCACTAGCAGAGGATTTCAAACCCTTTTTGAACCAAAGTTGTACTTGGAGTCTCGGTTTCGGCCCGTTTTTAACCGTAGAACCTGACAAAAACCATCTCCCCGAGTCAGATATAAAGTCACCCCACTGGAATTATCAGAAGAAAACAATAAAACTACAAATAACCTTCAAGCATTGTGGTAAGATTTTAGAGTACCGTTGTCACAGACGAACAGATAAAAAGGGAGGACGCGGCGGACATTTGTGACGAGTAGGCACATTTTATGGTCCGACGCAGACAACGCTGCTGTGAAATAAGAATGTAAATATAAAAGTTTTAGTCATTACAGCCATTATCACTCGGTAACATTGTTATACTACTGATGACGCGCGTTCGGCTGAAAGCAGAAACGGCCTTCCTGACTCAGCTAATGAGTCAGGAAGAAGTCTAAAAACGTACTGTGATGCAGAGAGAATCTTAAATCCGGCCAGGTGTCACTAACTGACACGCTCAATACCATTCCCCCTTTTGTTTCTGTCGTATGTTTCTTTTTTTTTATGACGCTGCCTGTTTGAAATGGCTCTCTGGACGTCCCCACCGTGCCTTGCAGCGTCCACAGTGAATTTTGTTTACACAAAAGTGACTCCTGGATGAATCGGAACGGTGATAGAATGGTTTGTTTGGAACAGGGCAGTGGTTTGCAGCTGTTTTGACACATCAAAATGGCTATAAACTCGAAATGTTTACTGATGTTGACCAAGGGGATCAGTGTTCTTGTTCTTTTGCTAGCTTGTTTATCTCTGTATACATTATGGATCTCATAATACCATTCATACCTTTTTATCAGAACTATATCTACATCTCTTCAAAACAGTGGCTGTATTTATGTCTTAAGACTCCTGTTGATTTTTTTTTGCTCATTTGGAGAAAGAACCTGTCTAGAATGTCATTATTTTTTCTTTAAATCAAATTTTCTTCTGAGTAAATGCGTGTATATCGAGACAATAATGACAGAGGGGGCCACACTCTGCGTCAGTAACGTTAGCGTGATATGTTTTTCTTTTATGGGCCTTAGTTTGGGTTTTTTTTCTCTCCCGGAAATGTCCCGAGGAGGAGAAATCGACCATATTTGTCTCTCAGCTTTAATTTTTGGATCGAATAACTCAGGATATCTCTCTGTTTTCACACACGAATCACAGTACCGTGTCCAGTTCAAATGTGCGTGTAGTTTTTCCAATTCTGATGTATGGAAACATGTTATATAACAATAAAATATGTTATATGTCCAAGTCCTGGGTTCTGTTGTCCATTGTACATTTATGGAGTTGAAGAAAACAATCCCGCTGAACTCTGCTGAAACAGGTTCAGGGTTAGAAAAGAACAGAGATGTAGAAAGTCCTGGAGTAGAAGTACAAGTGCTATATAAAAAAATTGTTTAATTGTGTATAAGTTTAAGTGTTCTTTCAGCACCATACTTAAGAGGAAGTACTCAATTTTTTTTTTTTACTTAAGTATTGCAAGTAGAAGTATTTAAAAAATTGCTACTCACGTATTAAAAGTACATACAATTTTGCAATCTTTCGGGAGGCTTTTTATTTTTATAGACAGAGCTATCTACAGCTTCGGCATTGGCACTATGACTTGGGGAGGATTCTTGACGTTTACATATCAGTAACAAGTAACGATTCAGTCCCTAAAAGTAAAAGTAAAAGTATTGAATTAATCAAAAATATGTAGTGGAGTAAAAGTAGGGCAAAAAAATATATACTCCAATAAAGAACAGATACTGCATTTTGGTACTTAAGTTAAGAACTTAAGTAGTTCTACTTTGTTTCTGTACATCTCTGGAAAAGAACAACTTTCTGACACTATGACAAAAGCGACAGGACACAAACCGCTCTGTTGCTTACCCAGCTTTACTACACAAAGGTGCGACCATCCAACAGTTTGCCGGCTCCTAGATTTCCTGAATCTGGGCTTGACTCTCCCTCCCCGCCGCCTCTCATCCAGTCGAACTGCAGCCGTCCGTACCAGGTGGTCCCGCGGGGCCTCAGGGTAAAGAAGTTGAGCTGGGAGGCCATGGGGATCACCCGGCACGTGCTGGGGGGGGGGTCCGGTTCCGGGGCCTCGGTCATCTGGACCCCCTGCACCACCCTCTGGAGGCCCGTGGCTTGACCGGGCCGCAGGGAGGGGATGCTTCCCGTGGAGGGATGCTTCTGTTGAGGCCGTCCCGGATCCTGTGCTGACCACTGGCGCGCCGCCCGGTGAGAACGGAAGCCCTGGAGAGAGATCAGGCCGCGCAGGGTCCTCCTCCACACCGGCGCGCTCTCGTCGCATCTATCTTGGAAGCCCCAGGAAACCGGGGAGCAAGTGGGGAGCCGGTCGGCCGAGGTGGCTTTTCTCACGTGCGAGATCTTCCTGTTGTAAACTTGAAACTTCCTGTGGAGATGCAGCGTCTTCATGTCGAGGGTCGACTGCGCCTGCCCCTGGATGTTTTCGTATTTGGCCGAGCACAGGATGACCTTTGGATCTTTGGTCGGAGGGGTCTCAGTCGGGCCACTTTCCAGTCGGGGTTGGAGGTCTGATGGACTCGGGGGAGGCGGCTTCGGCAGAGGAGCTTCAACGCCGTGTTCTGCGGCTGTGGAGTGACATCAAACCATAAGAAGAGAGAGGATCATGTCTCCAATAGGAGGAATTACAACAGGCCTTGAGGAGAGAACTTTTTGTTTTGTTTTGTACCCTTTTCGCTGAGGTCAGCATGCTCAATAAACTGGGCAAACCTTTAAACCTCACTACTATAACAACTATCCATACATTTGTCTGACATAAGGTGTTACCGTCAGTGAATGTCAGTTGATTATATCTAAAGTTTTTCCATTTTGCCCACCCACCAACGGAAATTCCCTTTACCCACAGCTGATTATGTTACAGGGTTTCGCATCTAAATCTCACAGCTACACGAGCCTGCAAAATGTAGCATTACAGAACACAAAAGCTGGTATAATCAGACAGTTATATCAGTTTTTACCAGCCAAAAAAATGTTCCGCTGTGTTGGGAAAGGTTGTGGAAAAAAAATTCAACTCTACCTGTATCTTTAACTGATTGATAGGATGACCAAAAACATAAAAAATCATCACTTTTCACCCACAATCCATTTGTTGGTTCTTTGGAAGGTTATGTTTAAGCTAAGTGCATGATCTAATGGTTTATTGTAAAGCAAAAATGTCAGTTTTGATCTCTTTGATGACTTGGAGACCGAGGTTTCAGGGTATTATGGGCCCATTATTGGAGCCATATCTGTGTTTGTATCGACAAACCATGTTCTAACTCTAATACTGTGCTTTCCAGAAGCTTGGAGGGAATTTTCAGTAGTCATTTTGTTTATTCAGATTCAGAATCAGAATCAGAAATACATTAATAATCCCAGAGGGACGTTTTTTTTTAGCTATCAATGCAGGTGGTGAAGACCTCAAAGCATCCATGGAGCTTTACCAATTGAGAAGAAATCCTTATCTAACTATATGTATAGTAAATAATCCTGTAAAGGGAAAAATATCAGCAAAGAGGATTCATACCAGTGGTTTAGGTTTGCTAAAACATACCACCGAGTCCATCATACTCTGCACACAAGGTGACACCGACCTAACTGTGTGGCCAGAGACTCCGCACGGACCTCACGGCTTCTGACCGGGAGCTTCAGGAACCCTGTAGAAATACGGAAAAACGGACAAAAGGCACAGGTTGAATGTGGGCAAAAGCGAGAGCCAACCCGCCTAAAGCGCGTTTCCTGGCACCTTTGGCCGGGACACCGGGCGCGCTCTCGTTCTGGAGCGTGGAAACGAATTGGGACGAAGGCTCGCTCCAACCGGCCGAGGCCTCGGTCCCGTCGGTCAGCTCCCTCAGTGGTTCCCGTCCATTCCTGTCAACGGCTGACCTCAAGTCTTTTCCGCTCCTTATTAAACAGATAGAGATGAAAATTACTCCTGTCCCTTGCATCAAATGCTCTGAATGATTGGAAAAAGTTTAAAAAACTTACACAAATGAAGCGTTGTTTGCCCAAGTGTCCCTTGGGTCAATGTCTGTGTTCAAAGACCCCAAATGATCTTCACCGGAATTCTGGGGTTCCTTCTGAGCAGTCTCCGGCTGGATGTCACGCAAAGGCTCAGGAACAAATCTTTCTATCCCCTTCTTTCCCGTTTGCATCAACTGCTCTGCTCTGGCTTGTCCAGCCTTTAGTTTTTCTTTTCCTTTCTTTTCATTCTCCTTGTGTTCCTTATCACCGGTCTTTCCTTTGTTCTTATCAATCTTTCCTTTGTACTTATCAATCTTTCCTTTGTTCTCATCAAAATTTCCTTGGTTGTCATCAATCTTTCCTTTAATCTCATCAATCTTTCCTTGGTTCTCATCGATCTTTCCTTTTGGATTCGCTTTATCCTCCCTTTTTTCTGTGTTTTTATCTCTCCTTACACGTCTCTTTCTCTTCCCTCCCGCTGTCCTTTCTTCTTCGTCCTCTTCATCGTCCATGAACCAAAGGGCTCCCAGGAGTTCGGCCTCCAGATCGTCGGGTCCGCATTCGTCCGCCTCGTTGAGGAAGAAATCATCCCAGCCGTTTGGCTGACAAAATCCCTTCCCTTTTTTCATCCAGCTCCTGATCACGGAGTTGGGGATGTAGCCGTCCGGAGCGATGGGCCATTTCAGAGGCCACGTGTCCAGATGGACAGCTTGGGAGGTGATGCGATATCCGGCCTCCTCCATCTTCTTAGGCTCCACATGTACTGCCCATCCTGCTGTAAGCATGTGACACGCAGTGTGAACATATATTCGACTCATTGATGTGTTTCTTCTTGTGAAAAGTTTGAAATAAGGCTCACAGCTCGTATGCTGAGTGTGTAAGTAGACTTAGAAAATGTCCAAACTAGCTTCCAGTGAAGAAAAGTCAATGTTTTTTTAGCATCAAATGGCAACTGGACTAAAACGTGAAAGTTAGTTTGTTTGTTTTAAAGCTAAGATAACCATATATTGGGATATTTACTGTATTGACCCCGTACCATAATGTCACTTATCATTAGAAAAATTTTGATAAAATGACTATATTATGTCAAACACATTGAAAATTGTTATACAAAAGTATCAGATAAATGCACATTTAATTTCTATTTTGTTGTGTCAAACACATTTTTATAAGTTAAATAAGATTCTCCCTTCATTCCTGTAAAATACACCACACATTACAGGTTTACTAACCTGCTGAAGGCCTTGTTGAGGCGTCCTTCCCCCCAGCTGTCATCCGCACTCATTTTAAATGTAAACATTCCCTTATTCATAAAAATGGAATTTTCAGCAAATGGAACAGCAGATTTCACATTTACTTCTGAACAGACAAAATGTGTATAGTGCAAGCTACAAGAAATGCTCTCACATGGAGCAAATTCACTTCTTATCCTGTCAAAGTCCTGTGTTTTCATCCCTACATAATTTCCGACCACTGCTGTGCATTATTTGTCCAGTAATGTCTAGTTTTAAGATGTTTAATCTGCATTCTTCATCATTCTTTTAAAAATAAATAATATTTTAGGTGATATTAGTGAAAAGAACAATGTTTTTTTTGTTTTGCTTGAATTCATGGTCCCATCAAGATAAATCTTTGTGCTTTAAATTGTAATTATTCCTTTGGCTGAAAAATTAAATGAGAAGTGTTTATCCCTCAATGTAGCAAAGATAACCCCCATAAGCTACCATGTTTAGAGTCCCCATGTTTACAGCGGATCTACAAATGTTAATGGTCAAAAATACAACTATTACTTACCCATCTTATTTAGGGTCACAGTGGACCTGGAGCCTGTTCGGTCAAAGGAAGAGGACATGTAATAAAAAGTGCTTGTGTAAAACATATGAAAGAATGAATTAAATCACTATGTGTAAAGACCCTTTTGGTGATCCGATGACTTCTCATCTAGCACCACCAGGAGGTTGTTAGAACCACTGCAGATCAATATCTTCACGGGGCTTAACCGGGCGGTTAGTGCCATTTCCTCATAGCTGGAGGGTTCATGGGTCAAATCCCGGCTGGACCTTATTTTGTGGAGTTTTCCCGCTCTTTTGTGTGTGTGGCTTCTCTTTGAATACTCTGGGTTCCTCTCACTGTCCAAAAACATGCTTGTTAGGTTAGATGGAGACTCCAAATTGACCCAGAAATAAGTGTGAGGGGTTTGAATCGCTGGTCTCTGTGTGACCCTGTGATGGACTGACCTCTCAGCTCGGATGGAATCCAGTCCCTACCGGGAATAGAAAATGAATGGCTAGCTCTTCCATCCGTGCCATCATTAGCAAATACGCCAACAGGCTTCAAATGACATAAATAGAAGATTTTAGTAGGTAGACTGGTTGATATCGCATCAAATATACACATAGGTGAGATTCAAATTCTGCAAAATTCCACATCCAGGACACAAAACCAAACAGTGTTCATTTGATTGACTCTTTACTCCTTCCTTACAGATGAAAGCCAAATGAATGCACAATTACAATGAAACCCTATGAGCTATTTTTCCATGCGTACAGATATGAAAATAGCAAAGCTGTTTGAAAAAAACAGCTCTTTCTTTTCGTGACATTACAGTAGACAAAGAAAAATAACATGTGCTCAAAACTAAATTACATTTCACTGAAAGTCCACACACACACACACACACACACCCACACACACGTAATCCATCTTAAACCATAAATAAACACATAACCTGATTGAACAGAAGTATCTATCAATCAATGTTCACATTTGATATGTTCAGACAATAAATAGATAAGACGAATATCCTGATTTTGTTCACATAACTCTTTTTTCTCTTAAAATGTATGTCATGAATTTTTTGCTGCAATGATTTTTAAGAAAAATATAAATTAAGCCTTCACATTTGACAGTCAGTTTTCCCACCACAACACGGCAGGAGGAGAGGACAGAATCTGAGCTTTCTTTACTCACAGAGAGCTGTTTTTTCATACTTAAACTACTGTCCGCAAATTAATAATTGGTTAAATGTTGTAAAAAAATTAGGCAAAACTTAAATGGCTTTTTAATGGGATGGATTTTAAATGTGTGCAAATCAGGTCATGCTGTTATTTAATTGAGTTTGGTGTTTCTCCATATCAAGATCTGCCTATTCTTTAGATATGTTTATATTTCTCTCTAGAGAGAAAGTTCTGTGTAGGGCAAAAAGTTTTTTTTATGCTTGAGACAAGTTGTCCTTGTCGACACGTTGCTGTTTTTGGGATAATTGAGACCCAAATCTCGCTCTCTTACTGTGAACCAAAGAGAAAATTCTGAGCTGAGCTGGACAGGCCACTGTCCCCCTGAGCCCCTTAAACTTAAAAAAATATATATAAATGAGAAAAATAAAAACTAAATGTTAGATCTCTTGTTGGCAAAGCTTCGGCCAGTACTAAGACGCATGTTAAAAACAAGGCTGTGATAAAAAATGAAGGCATGCTGCTTATGGGACAAGTTATAACAAACACCACCATCGTCTGTTCCCAGCTGCTGGAGCTCATAGCAGGTGGGCAGAGACATCAGTGTAAAACTCGAGAGACACAACATTAGTCCGGGAAGACTTTTCCAACCTGTGAGGGGATAAACACCTGAGATACCATTGGAAATGCTGCATGCTGTTAGAGATCGGTCACTGAGTGGAGTGGATTATTTAGCCCGTGTCGTTTGGAAAAATGCTTCGGAATAAAGAGTTCAAACTGGAAGACTGGAGGTTTTCATTCTCAAAGCATGATTCCAGCTGCTTTGACCATGTCAGGGCCCCCTTGTGGCCGGAGCATCAGGACAGAAAATCGTTTTCCCCTGGCAACCGAACCAGAACCGTCCCCGTGTGGCAAAAAGCTGCTTTCTGGAACCATTATAAAGCCTCACCACTCACTTCAAGTCTATTTAAAGAAACAGACACACACACACATACACACACACACACACACACACAGAGGCACCCGCATGTCTGGTTACAACACACACACACAGCAAAAGGTTGTTGTGGTCACACAGGGGTCAGAATGAACAAAAGTCTGCTCCTTTAGCCGTTGACACTATTTCTTTTTGATATTTGGCCAACTATGTTGGTGGAAAAAAAAAAATCAGAGGAGTAGACACTTTTTCTTGAAACAGAATTATTAACGAAAGTGTAGATTCTTGCCCTGAAAATACAGCATGCAGTTATAGTTAGTCCGTGCACAGCTCCAGGTTAGACCGTGCATTTGGATGTATTTTGTGTTTTCCTAAGAGTCAAGTCACACAACCCTAATGCGTTGTTGATATGCAAACCTTAAATTTTGAGAAAAAAAAAAGTTTTTAAAAAAAGAAGGGAAGAAATGTCTTTTCAGGATTCAGTTTTGAAATTTCCAAGTATCAAAGTCAGTTCCCCTTAAAGGGTAAAACACAGCTTGCAGAGGTCGGCTTTCCATAATGTTACTTCAGTGCTATTCGCTTCAATCTCAGTTTAAAAAAACAAAAATACCATTTGTTCAACAATCTTCACGCTCATTTCATAATCATTATTTCCTGAGGCGGATGAACCAGAAGGCCAGAGAGGACCTGTCCGCACTGCACCGCTAAAACCAGACTGACCTCTCATCCCACTTATTGCGATCCTATTTGGGTCCCATTTGAAACATGGAAGTTGCTGCTTCTTGAAGCAGCCGGCTGGAAGCTCCGTCTGACTGAACGCGTGCGGGAAAAAGGCGTGAGGTGGGACTGGTCTGAGGGGCGTGGTCCCGGTCTGTGGGGACCTCATTCTTGCAGGAGTGTTTCCCTCCAGTCGAAGCTGTGGTTGGGTCCGTGTGTTAGGGGCAAGATGGGGGGGTCCACCAACTGCCACGTCCCCGTTTCTCCCTGCTCCTCACAGGCGCAGAAGCCCAAGTAGGGAATCTGAGGATCGAGCAGAGGAGAGTTTCATTTTTTCTATTGCTATCTAACCTTTATGCAACTCTGTTATCCTGAAAATAAATGTCTTATTAACAAAACTCTCGAGTGGAGTGGAAATGTGAGCAGGAAGGAAGGTTTGAGAAATATGAAGAGTCTTAGAATAGTTATCTTAGTTTTGTTTTTGTTTTTTGTGGACTGTGGGGACAAAGGCTGAGGAGATAATGATCTCCTGGAGCTAAGAACCAGCTCCTCCACAGGCTTTTCTGTGTCCTGCAGCATGGGGCCCGGTCAGGCTCTGTGTCCAGCTGAGGACCAGAATACTGAAGCATCAGAGCCTCTTCTCAAAGCTGGAGAGCAGCCAGAGTCTACATCAGGATCAGGATCTGCATCTAACACCGGGTTCAGATCTTCCCGGTAACAGGAACACTGATCTAGTCCACTCTCCAGTGAACTTTTATGTCTGTCCTCACGGATCTTATGTTAGTACAAATTATTTTTTTGGCTACGGTTAGTTTTTAATTTAATTGTTGTTGACGACTAATCAGACAAAATAATCTTCTCTTCAAACAAAGCTGTTGTATCGGCGAGAATTCCAAAGGATCTTTGGGCCTCTTCGGCCATTATTGGGAATATTCTTTATTTAAGGAAACAAGTAATTGGATTTCTATGTTATTTATTTTTGGTATCTACGAAGTCTTTGTTTGCCTCATTTAAGCTATTTCTTAGATTTTCTGGGCACCGCCAAAAATCCTGCATGGAGACATAATTTACATTTATTTTGTTAACTGATGATTAATCTCAATGTGAAATTTAGTTCACGTATAGTAATAATTGAATATGTAACGGAATTAATTCAAATGAAATCCTCATCATGTTGTGAACGGCTTGTTACTAAGGATTAGGTCCTGCACATGCTTGAGCTTCCCTCTAAGGAAAACCAGAACAATGCATTCCCCTCCAAATAAAATTGGGAAAACTAGTAAGAATTAACCACGCTTTTAAAATAAATATTCCATAAATATCAGTCACTGCATCAGCGGACTACAACTGTAACATTTAGTGTTAAGGAAATGACTCGATAGTCACCCAAAAAATAACTTTAGCATTCAAACAACCTAGTTTTGGTCCTTTTATCTTTATGTTTAGAGACCTGGAATACCTCCATCTCAAGAGGCGAGTACAGTTTCATTTTAATGAGCCAGAGAAAGCATGCGTCGTGATGGGCCGACTGAGATGTGTGAAAGGACAAAAAAAACGGTGGAGTAGATGGAAAAAGACACGCCGTCGTCAGACCTTTCTGACCACTTGGACAAAGTCCTTGGCGCTCTGGGGGCTGCGGCCCTGCAGCTGGCGTGTGCAGGCCTCTAAGGAAGACGCGTGGGCCACAATCAGCACGTTGTTTCCTGCACAGAGCGGCGACCCCGGGGAGGGGACGTTAGCGGCTCGGCCAGAGCAAAGGGACAACGCTGCGCTGCGAGTTCCCCTTACCGGTGGTTCTGCAGTCCGACAGAATGTCTTTGGTCACCTGATAGCTCCGGCTGATGTAGCTCTCGTAGGACTCGGACGCGGTGAGTTTGGAGACTGGGATCAGGGGTCTACATGGAAACAAACGGCATCATCATTCCTCATCCAGTCGTCTTTTTGAGAGAAGTTTTAAAAATATTTCCCCTCAGAGAAGTTTTAATATCACTCATATGTCTTAGATATGCGAAAACCCATGTGTGGCACCCCGACATACTCAAACACACACACACTGATGCTTTGTGAGACTACACTAGAGATCAGGATCAACATTTATCTTGAAATTTGATTGACTTAATGTAGGCAATTAAAGAAAATGGGTCGAAATGGCTTTCAGACCGACCTGTACGTGGTGTCCACGCTGAAGTGGGCGGCCGCCAGGTCGCTGGGGGATGTCCAGGCGGGCAAGGAGTTCCCAGAGACCCACTTGGTCCACTCGAAGAGACCTGGCTCCACGCGCATCTTCAGCTTGGCGTCCTGCTGCATCCCTGCGTGCGCACAGTGTCCCACAGCTCCCTAACGTGGCCCGGCGTACCGGGACGGAGCCGGACGGCGGGTCCTACCTTTCAGAATGTTCTGCGCCGTCTGGACGCATCGCAGGGAGGGGGAGCAGTACACGTAGTCTATGGATGAATGGCTCTCCAGCAGAGCCTCACCTGGAAAATGAGCGCGTTTCAGCACAAGACAGAGTCACCGTCTGCTTTACTTGTCTGCAAAACTGGGGCCCACGTACCCACGAGCTGGGCCTGAGTGGACCCGAACACGGTGATCGGAGCGTCCATGTCGTAGTCTTTCTGTCCTCCCCACAGAGGCAAACTGGAGGGCATGTTCAGGTTGGAGCGGACGTATTTACCTGCGGCGCAGAAAGGGACAAGAGCTGAGCGTCTTTCTCCCGAAGACGCCGGTTGACGCCGTTTGGCGTGCTAACCTTTACTGTCTGAGCAGAGGGAGAGCCAGTGTTTGCCGAAGACCACATCCATCCTCTCGCCGTGGCGGCAGACGAACAGCGTGCGCTTCGGCTGCCGTGCGGCGCCGAGCCGCAGGACCTGCTGCGAAACACAGAGACCGCCCCGTAAACAACAGGACAGACCCGCAGAGCACGAGGCCTTTCAAGTGTCTATGCGAACTAGACTCGCAGTTGCGCAGTTTCTTACAAAGAAAGGACACCAGACCACCTGCATTGGATGGCAAATGAGGCTGAAGGCGGGCGTGTCTCCGGGGTTGGAGTTGTCCGGGCGGCGGCTGTCCAGCAGGCCGTCGAACATCCCTTTCTCTTTCCCGCTCTTGTCACCGGGCTCGCAACTGAAGAATGAGTGGGAGCTGTGGGAAGGGCAGGGAGGGCTGTTTAGCATTCCTAACCCAACCTGTCGTCTAACGGGTTCGATATCGTGAAGTGGCCGGCTCACCCGTGAAAGATCCAGGTGTCGGACTCGTCGGCCAGGCCGATGTAGTTCTCCGGCAGCAGGCCGGAGAGCCCGGTGGCCAGCGAGGTGCCGTACACCCAGCCCTCGCTGGTGCTGCTCTGATCCATCGGGGACATGAAGACGTAATCGCCGGGGACCAGCTCCAGCTCGTCGTCGTTCTGCGGGACGTAGGGGTACATCACCCGCAGGGTCTGTGGACCAGAGAGAGAGAGAGAGAGTCCCAGCCGGCTGGTCACTCGACCGCCCCCTCAGATACAGTCCGAAGAAACGTCAAGAGGAGCGTGAGCTACCTCGTGGTTGGCGAAACGAATGTCCCGGGAGAACAGCACGACCAGCCAATCGCAGCCCAGCTTCACCTCGATGCCCTTGGCCAGCTTCTCCAGGGAGGGGAGGTGATCGGAGGGGAAGTTGTACGCCAGAGTCACATGGAGCTGCTTCTTGTGTGGCTCCACATGGACCTCTGGATGACAGAGAAGATTAAATGAGCTGCTTTTAGACAGTCATGTCTTCCATTTTTGGTTAGTCTAGATCCTCTCTTTTAACCCTATAATTCCGTATGTGTAATATTTGACACATACAGTTTCTTAAATATTTTGCATCTGAAACCTTTTGCATCTTTAAATAGTAAAACACTGCTCCAAACCCTGTTGTGCACAATCAGATATAGCTGATAACAGCGGGCTGAAGACTACACCACAATCATTTTGACTTATCACCAAGGAAATAAATGATGTATGTTCAAAAATGATTTCTGTTTCTGTCAGAATTTAATTTTAACATCCGGCGACAATGGCGTCGGTCTGATTGGTATAGCCTGATGTCAAGGTTACTATTTGTTATCAGAACATGAGCAAACAACAAACCAAGAGGACTCATATGCTATTCAGGCTTACTCTTATGTGTTCATTAAGGGGGAGATAAGATGGGAGGGATGGGAAGGCTGAGTTAAGCCCTTAAACGCATCATCACACATTTCCTCTGGACCTCTCCTGGTTCCTACCGGCCTTCCGGGTGGCCTCCGTGGCAAAATCGGCTGCAAACTGCTTGAGGACGTCAGCCACCTGCTCCTCCACGAAGAGACCGATGAAGTTTGAAGATGTGTAGAGCTCCAGAGGCAGTGGGCTTGGAAATCGACCCCGCCACTTCTGTACGGTGGCCTGGAGGGCCTCGCAGAGGGCATCCGCTTTGTTGTCTGCGCACTGTGTGAAAGAGAAGAGCCGGTAAAAGCCCGCCGTCTCCAACAAGTTTGCTGTCACAGCGTTTGTCCGGACTACTGAGGTGTGTTGAGTCAGTGGTGAGATCCAAAGAGGTATCTGTCAGAGACTATTATGCACCTGATGAGAAAAAGAGAGAGAGCCAGAGCATCCCTGCCTCTATCGGGCTGTTAAACTGATGCTTTCAATTAGTCACAACGGTCTCTTTTCCATCAGCGTTCTTCAAAGATTCACGAGAAATAAGACGATAAGTTAACTGAATGAAGCTCAGCCCAACTCACCATGAAGAATTGGCAGAGCGTGATATGTGGGAAGATGTTGTGGGCCTTGTTTTTGCCACAGGTGACCCGGCTCTGCTGCCAGAAGTGGGAGAGCTGGTTCTGTAGAGGCCCGCTGGGCCGCAGGTAGAGGACGAACTCCCTGGGCAGGGGGTCGTCCAGGAAGGGGTCGTCTACATGGGAAAACAGCCTGGGAGACAGACAGAGCCCTCATTTAATTTAATTGTCTTCTTTTTGCCACGTGTATTAGGCAGCAATAAACTTAATACGACATTCATAATAATAATCTGGATATGAGGGATATAATTATCTTCAAATGAATCTTAGCGGTGACAAAAAAATTGGTTCTGAGGAAAGAAATTGCTCTGCCTTCTCTACACTTTTGGTGTGAATACTTTATGGCCAGCAGTTCTTTTTCTCATGTGGTCACAGGCATTAATAAGGGAAGACAAGCTTACTTAACACTCCACAGATCTACACTTCTTTTGTCAGTTTTAAAGTATGTGAAACAGCAGTTCACAGAGGATTTGGCTTACTGAAGAAATAGATACCCTCATGGATTATAGCTGCTTTTTAGACTTTTAATTTTCAGCTCACTCAACAAAAAACAACAATTAATGTAGAGGGTAATGTTTTCTAATGCTTGTAGATAACATCCATCCAAAAATTTTAAGCAAAACAATCTGTCATTTAAGTGTTCTATACAGCAGGGGGCACCATGTAACATGTTTCTTCTGACTTGCAGTGAGTTTATGCCTTCAGGATAGGAAGGAGGATGAGTGGAGGCCCATTTGTTCAAGCTCACCAGTCGCATGCTGACTGCACACTCCGGCCTCCGGTGGACACCAAAGCTTTCAGGCTGTAAAAGAGCACAGTGAGGACAGGCGACAGCTGAGACGTGTGTGAGGCGCCAGTGTGTGTGTGTGACAGCATAGAGACTCTGACTCCTTGTGAGTGTTCTATTAGCAGATGACAAAGTGCTGCATGTAAAGGATCCGCATTATCAAATGTGACAGGAGGGGCAGATGCAAGTTCAGGGAGAAAAAGCGTAATAAAGTGTACTGGGCTCGACTTACAAGTGATGCTTTTGAGCTACGCTCAGTTTTGTTTGTTTGTTTGCAATCAGATAAAAATATGAATAAACAGACTCAATATCTAGCTTGGGCGAACATCCGACAAAAGTAAAGTAACTGTAACTTAACTCAAGTTACAGGACAATGGACCGTACAGAGAGACTGAACGAGTATGTCATTGGGCGAGAGGCGGGGTCGCCCTGGACGGTCCGCAAGTCCATCACAGGGCCACACAGAGACACACAACCACCCACACTCACACTCACTCCTAAGGGCAATTTGGAATGTCCAATCAATCTAAGATGCGGGTTTTTGGACGGTGGGAGGAAGCCGGAGAACCCGAAGAGAACCCACGCAGACACAGGGAGAACAGGCAAACTCCACATAGGGAGGTCCTGGTTCCCCCGGGGACTCGAACCCAGAACCCTCTTGCTGTGAGGCGATGGTGCTGACCACCACACCTGGAGCCAATGTGGAGAAACTAAACTAGAGTTCTGTGACCTCTGCCGCTGGTTCTCAGACGCTGAAGATGTACTTTCTTTCTCCCGTGACTCACGAAAACGAGTCACGTTCTCTGATAAAACGCACCTATTCAAGGTTACGGCACATTTACACTGACTGTGTCTTCAAATCATTCTTTCCACATCTTGAGATGGTGATGAACGCTGTGTGGGCGGAGACCATAATGGGTGAGACAACGTGTCAAGTGGCTTTCAGGCTTTAGGAAGCTGCGTGGAAGAGGATCCACAGCCCAGCCCGCATGGGAAGACGTTCACAATGAATCGCTGTGACGCAGAAAACAGCTCCTTTTAAGCCCTCGGTCCAGCCTTGCGAGTGGAGTTATTCATAGAAAGGAAGGGTGAGTCAGCTTTAAGACGTCTGAACTGAAGAGTCTGGGTTTGGAGGGCCGGCGTGAAACAATTTTTTCTGAGAATTAGCATCCTCGGCTCCGCTTCCTGTGGGTCCACTGTGCGCCCTGCTTGGCTCAGGCAGAGATTCTTGGGTCGCTCTCAGCTCACACGCGGCTAACCAAAAGGAAGACGAATCCAGCACATAGGACAGTACCGTTCCATAGCGACTGTCAGGATGTTAGCGATTTTTTTTTTTGTAGTTATCAATGAGCTTCACCAGGTTTTTGACCGTGCCTGCTAACAGCTACACAGAGGAACATGCAAACACTCCCCACAAGTACAGTGGTCTCCTTACTTTTTTTTTAACTTATTGAGCTGGATCCTGTCCTGCAATCAGGAAAATGGATGAATTTCTCTGTTTAAAAAGCCTCTATGTGAGGCATCGTGCTGGGCTCGGCTCCACAGAGTGGGACGGCCAAAAAGCTGCCAGTTGTCCTAGAAAATAAAGAGCAAAAGAAAGAAAAACGGATTCCGTTGTGTGTCTTTTGTCCGCGAGTGGCTGCTTTTGGTTTGAAATGTCAGAGGTCACGGATGTAAGCGTGTATTAACGCAACGTTACCAAGTCCGTCACTTAGTCAAAGTATTGTGAACACAAACGCGTACGAAAAGAACTGTGATCTGTTCGACAAAGCAAAGACTCAGCCGAGTCAGAGAGCAGCTGGTCTGACATGAGCCGAGTCTTGCCGCCTTCTAAATGCTCCGTGCTTCTCCAGCTGATGTCTCCCACAGACGTAGAGACGGCTAGCGTTAGTGTGAGTCTCACAGGAGGAAGAGGGTTTGGAGGGCTGCTGCTCAGAGGGGCCTTTAACCACTTCTACATACACCCACACGCACAAACGGTGTCGAGAATGAGCAAAAAAAAAACATGTTTCTTACGTCTTAAGTCAGATCGATAAAGATCTGAGGGTAAGAACATGACCCTGTCACAACTCAGAGAGAACTGGAAAGGAGAAGTGGTGTCGCGTTCGTCAGCATTTTCACTAGAATTTGCTGTGAAGCGCTTCGATCCTCGGTGAAGGTCCCTTAAATCGGCACCTTTATTTTTGTATAAAGGTCTTACAGGTGTCAGCATGCGAAGCAAGATAAACAGATATAACTCTGTGATGCAGATCAAACCTCAAAACCCTAAACAGCAACACACGGAAAAGAGCAGACCTGTTAGAAAAGGACTGAACAGTGTCTCATAGCAACCTGGAAATGTTAGCATGTTGTAATGTGGCCTCTAAAGAGTTCATCATGGCGTTACCTAATAATGCTAACATATCATGATGAATAACAGCTTGTTTTTTTCCATTTCCACTCAAATTGACACTGATAAACTGGTGATAAAAGCGCTTGAGCTGGGACATGTGGGACTCTCCGAGGGGGGACTGCTATACTCACTAAAACGAGTTCCAAAATGTTACTCCACTGCCTGCTTTGGAGCTACCATCAATCTCACTGTCCACTTTCCATAAACTTGGTAAGTAAAAGAGAAGCAGCGGCCAGAAAAAAAAAAAAGTCAGATGACTCAGTCTTGAGGCAGCTGTGACATTTGATTATGGAAAGAGGTTAATCCTTTCTGAGAAACTGCTCCCGGTGCACATGAGGGCCCACCTTTTTCTTCTCTTGGTTAATCTGATGTGTGCTTTGTTGTAAAAAAAATATTGGATAAAAACATATTAAACATGGAAATTTGGCAAACAACAGCACAATAGCTAGACAAAATAACTATTGGAAATAAATTATCTCCTTAATACACAGGGTTTTAGTTCAGTTTTTACCCTTCATGAACAAAAGACAGAAGTTGGTTGATAGAGTAGATGCCTTCTGGCACCTGGCAGTCTGAAGTAGGTTTCAGTAATCCAGAAACACACTACAAAAACAACGTCCTGAAGATGAATCTTTCAAAACATGCTAACAGTTGTCCTGAGCTGCCCAGCACCACTGCGCTTCAGAAACAGGCTCATTGCTCAGAAACAGGAAATCAGGAACATCGGTGTGATGGATCCCTTTCTTGTTAGGTCTCATGTCACATCTGGGTATACATAGTTGGCACTGACGTGTCTGGGGACAAACACCGCATGTCACCATAAACCCTCGTTTGTATCAGAGTCTTAGGTTTGTGAAAATGTCACTTGATGAAGACATACATTTTTAGCAAAGGATCATGCAGCCAGACAAGCAGAGATTCTACAGCTAAGCAGATTTGAATTGTTAGTAAATGCTAGTGGCTGAAATTATTCACCCACTTGCTCATTTCCTGCTCTCATCTGAACCTGTTGAGGGCCGTGGGTGGTATTTCTCCACAGCACCGATCATTATGCTGCGCAGCAGTGAAATGAGAAACTCAGAGGATTTTTCTCCGGGTCACAAGACCGGTTATTCCATTTGTTTTTTTTTCAAAGAAAAAGAGCTGTTTGATATAAAAAGAATCTAATGGCTTCAGCTCCAATCTGCACCAATGGAAACGACGCACGGGTGAACACGCCTCAGGTTCGCGGTCCTTCAGTATGAGCGACAAAGGAAGAGAAGGCTCATTCTTATTTACCAGAACGCATTATTGACTTCCACTGGAGACCCTGAAACTGAGAGCCACAACTGGTCAAAACACAGGCCAGCTTTGTGAAGCCCGACTGACTGAGGATGACTCTGTCGGTCAGTCTGTGTGTGGCCATTAGTGGTTTATTGTCATCGACTGACAGTTTTGTTCGACAGTTGTAACTCCAAAAAGAGTAAAAAGCGTATAATGGCTAAATCTTAGAAACTTTAAACCTACACTCGACTTGAAGGATGACTCTCAGAGCCATTCAGAAGAGAAACTCGTGTGAGTCGTGTGTTTGGATTCCCTTTGACAACCTCCGCCTCCTCCCGTTGTTGGCTGGCAGCAAATCCACAGCTGTGGGTCGAGTTGCTGTTTCACAAAGCAAGTTCTCAGTTGAGTCACACACGCATTTAAGACCAGCGGCAGCTTAAGGAGGATCCCCTGTCAACGGATGTAGGTTAGAATCGTGAGAGGATTTAGGCCCCGGTATGTTCAGACAGCTGACGTCAGGGCGGCCGAGTGTGAGGTTTGCAGACCCAACACTTGTTGGCCAGCTACCAGCTACTCCCCCAGACTTTGTTCCTTTTTTTCTTCTTCACGTTTTGAATGAGCGTAAAGTCAAGCTCAGGCAGAGACGGTGGGGTTTTCAGCATGTTTCGTCTGTCCCCGTTCCGTAAAGGAGTGGCAAAGGCA